ACCTTTGTGAATCGGGGTTATTATTCCAAGTTTCCACATGGCGGGAACTTGGTTCTGGTCTAAGCAGTGCTGGAAAAACTGAGCTAAAGGTCCTGCCAGTTGGTTTGCTGCTGCTTCCAATGCCTCTGGACGAATGGTGTCGACACCTGGCGAGCTGTGTTTGCGTAGAGTAGTCAGCTTTTGCAATACAGCCTCTGCGGTAAAATTGATCTGGGTTAGTCCTGGTGAGCAGAATACAAAGCTTGGTAGATCGCTTGGTGGCAAGACTCTTTGAAACGTGGGGGCGTATTGCATCTGCAGCGCGTTTGCAGCTTCCATAGACGTTCTTGTTGGGCCATCAGCCGTCTTGAGTGGAGAAAATCCTTGCCTCACCTTTCGTAGGCTATTAACGTGCTTGTACAGCAGTTTGTGGTTAGCACTGAAGGTTTTTGCGATGTTCTGCTGATAGGCGGCTTTGTCTTCTCTTAACAGTTGAGTGCAGTGGTTACGTTGGGCTACGTAGTTGTCCCAAGTTTCTGGTGCTGGAGCTTCTCTGTACACTCGCCATGCTGCGTTGCGTACTGTCATCCATTTTCGGGTTCTGCTCCTAACGAAAGAAACGGATTTGCACTTATTGCAAGCTTTTATCTCTGAAGCCTGTGCAATCAGCTGACTGAATGTGTTGACGAACTCGAGCCAGGCCACTTCCGGGGGTTCTTCTTGGAGGAAAGACCATGTTGTGGCGCTGACTAGCTGGGCCAGTCGGTCGTACCTTGTGATGGTTCGCACAGTCTCATCGTTATCATTCAGATATTCTGCATAGCATACGAAGTTGAAACTGATGACTGCGTGATCACTGCGACCCAATGGGCAGTCTAAAACCAATGCATCAATCATACGCTCCTCGTTGGTAAGCACAAGATCCAGCACAGATGGCCTGTTACCAGTTCTGAACCGAGTGGGCAAAGTGATGTGGTTGTAAAGAGGAACAGTAGTTACTAGATCTTGTAAATCGGTTTTGAATTGTTCTCCGATCGTGGCAGGGGCTTCTAAACAATGTACGTTGAAATCACCCATGATAAGAATGTGAGTGTACTTTTGTTGTAAACTGCACCTTAACGCAGCCATTAGGTGGTAGTCGGTTTCGGGTGTTGAGTTAGTGGCTCGGTACACCAAGACAATAAGGCAAGCGTCCCTGCCTTTTAACTGCAACCGGCACCAAAGAGAGTCAGGGAACTGCGAGTCTGAATCCTCCACGGCTTCGCACTGTAAGTCGTTTCGGTAGTACAGGATTACCCCTCCTCCTTTTGTGAGCCTGTCGTTCCGGATCAGCGACATGCCGGGTAGCGACACTTCAGCGTTCGTCATTCCCGTGTGCAACCATGTCTCGGTGATACCAATGACATCATACGAGCCGGAAGCTTGGCGATCTTTCAGTTCAGCCAGTTTGTTAGAAAGTCCCTGAGCATTTGTATACAAGCAGGCCAGTTTCTCGGTCTCTAGGAGCCCGCAGAGAGGTGAAGCTGTCAAGTGTGGGAGAATGCCGACCGATGGGAGGTCGGCAGTTACTCGTGTTTTTGATGGGTCAATGATACCTTGTTTGCAACTTGATTCGGCCGAGGTGCGTCCCAGCCTTCGTTTAGACCTAAGTCAGAGTCAAGTAAAGCAGCAGTCAAGTTACACTTCTGTACATTCATCAGTATGCTTGCTGCTTCAGTTGCTTTAATAGTTGAGCTGTGCAAAGTGTTTGCGACCTTTAACCGAATTTCGGAAGGAAGATGTTTCCGATTTCACCGTCATCGATCCAAAACATCCTTTGCTTGTTGCTCTGACTGAACCACAAGTTTTAGGATTCTAGGGCCGCGTCCTCTATAATTCGATGAGAGAGGTATCCTGGTGAGCGATAGTGCCACAACATCATCCAAAGAAAGTGTTTCACGAATGTACCGCCACTGTTCTAAATCGTGCTTTCCGGTCTCTTGAACATCATTAGAAGGATGTTCTGGCACGCCATGTATGAAGACTGTGTTTAGGCGGTCTTGCTTGCTGTGCCCCTCTTCGGTGTTTCGTTTTGGTTTTCGCGCGCTCCAAGGGACATCAGGATAGATACGTATCCCACAGGATTCGTGGTTTAGCGCGCTTGCGGAGAGCAAAACGTTTTCAACATCGGTGGAGGATTCTAGTTACTCGATTAAGTCTGGGTTCACTATAGTGTGGCGAGTTCGGATGACGAGTAATTCGTAACAAGTTTATGGGCTTGGCTTTGATACTCATCTGCATACACAATGAGTTCCATTGGTCTTGGTCGTCTGATAACTTATCCCGCAATATGATGGCGGTAGATTCAGGGACATCTGAGCATACAACAGTCCGGGCGCTGTTGTTGGATCCCTTTTTAGTCGATCTACAAGGTATGGTACTCATTTGTCCTGACTTGTTGACAAGTGATTGTTTGCTGTTTTTCTCTCCATTTGCGTTAACGGTGTTTACAATGGAAGAGGACGCAACGGCGGCCTCTCGGTGGACCCTTGCAACAATCTCTGCATATGTAACCGATGTTCTGGGAGGCTTAGTCTCGATAAGAGATATTTGAGCTACAGGTACCAAGGGTTGGTGTTTGGCTGCTCCATCCTTGTTAATGCTAGATGTCAGGTCTAGTGGAATTTGCTTAACCAGGCGTTTTGAATGGTTCCTGATTTTCGTTGCTGTGAATACTGCTTGATTCACGTAGATGCAGTCTGTTTTCGCCCGACGTTCTACCAAAGTTGGAGAAGACAACGGAGATGGAGACGTGGCTGATTGCGGTGCAGGGGAAGCGGATTTTTCAGCATTCCGTTGCTTAGCAGCCGCTACGCTTCTGTGGTCCATACTCGCTCCCATTGAAGTAATCTCATTGTTTATCCTCTGCTCTGCTTCTGCGATTAACCGGTCGCATTTCTCAGCTAGGATAAGCAAGCACTTAACGAGGGGGATGGTGGAACACGCAGTACAGAACCAAAATGCATCTTGGGAGCTATTTCGCTCCCGTAACTGTTGTTGGGACACATTTGCACATTTCGTATGGTACCAAAAGCCTACTTAACCGTGTAGAACTTGATGCGGCTTATCATGACTTTGAAATGCATTCGGATCTTACAAACTGTACACCATGCAGACAAGTATTGAATCAAATTCTAAATGATTTGTCTCATGACATTTGACATCAGAGCGTTTCAGCTCACTGTACCGGGACCGAGATGGACTCTACGTGACTATCCACAAACCGGAGAGAAGAATGGACAGATATGTGTGGCGGAAATTACAAAACCGCTTGCATAATTTAGTTTATTCCCAGCAAACGGTGCTCCTCATGCTATCGAATTCTCCCTTACCAAAGTCATAATTATATATATATATTTAATGACAAATACTTTAAAACCGCTTCGTGCCTACTTTTATACTGTCGTCAGTAAATTTTCTTACATGAGCTCGCTAGGAATCATAAACTCGGAACACGGTGAAACTGACCGGTAGTGTCGGACTACGCGCCAGCGGGAGACTGAAATACAGATTTCAACCAAAAATGATCAAATCTGTTTTATTTCCAGGATACACTGGTTTACAGCAGTTAAAAGCGGAAAGGTAACGAAAAGCTTAGCATAGTTTTGAAAAAGCTGCAAAATGTGCAAAGAACTGCAAACTTCCTCGCATTCATTTAATTTTCTTTGTCCTTGAACATCATGAATGCGTTATCTTGTACCCTTTACGACTGATCTCATCATTCATGACCCCCGCTGGCATTTTCACGTTGCACTTATTCAGAGACTAACTCCCGATTCCACGATTCATACAGGTGTTGCCAATTGCATTGAGCACACTTGATGAAGCTTTGCTATTCGGCTTGATGCCTGTTACTAGCAAACTGCGCAAATCAACTAAAAATTTCAGTACGATCATCGATCGGCGGAGCCAACAGACGTTGTTGTTCGTTGTAGCAGTGTATGAATTCTACTGTCAAATCCAACTTTCTTCGCTAAAAGTACCACAAGGGCACGTTGATGCTTACTAATCTCCCAAACGCGCAGAGCAGCAGACTTAAAGTTGGCAAAAGTGAAGTCGGTCGTCAGTATAGCCATGATATTCGCAGGATCAACATACATACGTGCCAGTACCATATTTTGTGATTTCGCTCCATTCATGTTTCGAAAAAGATTAAGATAGATTTTATATCATTTAATCTTTCCCAATGTTAGAACAGTTCGTCGAACCCTCGAGAAAGAAAGAGATTCATTTATTTTAGCACGCTTTAAACAAAAGTACACGTGCTCCGCACATCTTTGTATTCAATGCGTAGTTAGTCTCGCTATCAGAACGCCATTTGATTACAGTAATTGTCAACCTTCAAAGTGACCTAATTACCATCGGTATTATCTTGTCGGCTGCCTAATAACAGAATCTCTGGGAAGAACGTAGGTAACTGCCAGATAACAATTTTCTCACCGACAAGACCTAAAATATTCACCAAACAGCTACAGTGTGATGGAGCTGGAATCAGTCGTCCGGTGCGAAGTACTTAGGGAACCACTAGCTCATCCCTTCAATGCGTTTAAGTGTTAAAATAATTAAGACCACAGTACAGTAGCTTCTGATCACAGACTGCTCATTTTTAAATCAACTGTTTCTTATCGGTATTGAGAATAATTCTCATGAAGATCAAATCGGGAATTTAACCAGTATGAGATCCCGAATCTAGGAAGCGTTAGTTTAACTCGGTAAGCAGTGCTGGAAAGCTGGGGTGAACATTAAACCGATCAGCTGAATGCAAAAGGTTTCGGATAGCAGTATAGACATACAAAGCGAAAAACATCGAAAGACTAAGATTTTTAAGTAATCTTTAATGGCTGATCCAAAAATTAAAAGATTCACAACGATTAGTCGTTACGCTGTGGCTTAATTACATTCATCTCATTGTTAGGCCTAGAAATATTTTAAGCGGGAAGCGATATTAACTAACCACACTACTACGCACACACAAGCCTATTCTAAGTGCACACAATTAGGAAAAAACTTACCCGGAAATTTGGAAAGAACAGGTAAATGAGGTACAGAAATGGCAGCAGCGGGAGAAATATTAGTAGAAATTGAAGGCGTTGTATTCCCTCGAAATCCCGAATGCAAAACATTGGGTTGTAAAACAAATTCTCCAATTGATGCTGGCAGTTAGGATGAGCGACGAACTGGAAAAATGGAGAAGGCATTAGATTTTTACGCTGGCCCCACACATGTATATAGTTTACGGGGAGTGATGTTGCGTAGTCTTGCTTAGTTAGTGGTTGCAAAATGTGGTAAAATAACTGATTGAATTAGCACATCAACGTTCCACACAGTGATGAACACTCAGATTTAAGAAGAAGCACCATTACTTATTTTCCACTAGAATTCACATGATTTAACTGGTTTCCTTCCAAAGTAACTCAACACAGGAGAGAATAGAATGCGCGCTGGGCCTTTAGTTAACATAGTATTAAATCGGGTTTTTATTAATAAACAGGGCATTGTTTGTGGTGATTTTAGCAACTCAAAACCCTAAGCCCTAGGTACTAGTAGAGTAGGGATATTCACTCATCTGCGATATTTTCAATAAAAATTGCCTCTGAACTGGTGTAGAATACAATAACAACTCGATTGATGATAGGGGGTTAATACACTAGTTTTCTCCATGAGTCATGGTCTGAAGTGCATGACTAACTAGCCCGCACTTCTATAGTAGTCAAGTTGCTATATGAAAAATCATGTTATAAAATCAGCCGAAGTATATGCAATGTTTTGCTATGTAAGAGACATGTACTCCACGAAGTAGACATAACCAATTTCATGTTCTCTTATCTTGTTCAGGACGATGAGGAGAAAAGCAGTGGTAACCATTCAAAAAATGCATCCAGTTGTCTGAAGGGGAAATACTCCAAGGGAAAGTTCATTCACTTTTTACTCAGGTTCCGGTCATCCGTCATGTGTCCGAGGCAGTCTATCTAATTTATTTTGGTGTAGTATGTCTTGTTGTGGACATTCATGGCTGTGTATAAATGGATTGGATTAAGCCATTCATTTAAAGTCTCTCAATAATTAACACCACCTTATTCTTGTCCGACAAACTGTTGACTGAAAAGAATCTTGCTTGGGTTATGAAACACATTACTGTCTGAGGTACGGTTCAAGCGACATATTCACTTTATTTAGCTCATTGCTAACAGCGATGTATTGAAGGAAAAAATGGTAACAGAATCCTGATTATGCTTGTAGTATTGACACCGGGGTTAAGTTGCATGTAGATTACAGTTCAGGTGTACACTTTCCAGCAACTAGTTCCACTTAGCTCATTAGGATTAACTCAGAAAGATCCAGTGATATCTTCATTAGGATTCCTACTAAAATTTTTCACTGTTTTTGAATACAAAGAACCCGCGCAACAGCGATAGAGGGAAGTGAAGTACGCATTAGAAGAGATGGCACTGTTTTCTCTTTGTATACCATCGGTCCAAAGTACAGGCTTGTACCTATGCAGGCATTGTAGCAGAAGTGAATCTTTGTTCTGCGAGGACTACGTTAATACATAGGCCAACTAAGTGCCCACTCAAGGCTCGAGCTCGTGTTTCGAACTACAGCGTAACATTTGGACGCGATGAGGTAATAGTTACACGGATCCTGTAAGTCTGCACGCTTGTCCTCAGTGATATACGTACTATTGGTTCTGACTGCTTAGTCCTCGTAGCCTTAATCTGGATCCCGCAATAGGTAAAACTAAGATGAGTGAACAGGTATTTACCGGCCCCCACCTGATACTTCCTAAAATGCTTGTTTACACGCATTAATTTGGCCATGAACCACATCATTAAGGCAGTTAAACATGTAGACCTGGGTTATGCACCTCTCGTTGTAATGTTATCATGGCAACCACATAAATCAAAATACTGGGAAGGTCAACCTTATTATCTAGACTTGCAAACGCAACACAAGTTTTTACCTTTTGCTCATGTGAGCAATACAAATGGTTGAAGGCACGTGATGAGACCGGTTCTCGGAAGTCTTCTGTTCATTTAATCAGTGTGGTTATACAACTTAAACTATGTAATATTGTAAGCTTCCTGTAGATGGAAAGCTACTGTAACGCCTTACTGCAATATAGAAGCCAAGCATAAATAAAAAGGGTGGAATGTGAAGAAATGATCAGTGGAATTTGAAGCGAAAAGAAGCTATCAATAGTCTGTGAAGCTGAGCTCCTGGAATGTGTTATCTGTTTCGTTATATGCAAAAAATTGCATTATCAAAGCGCAAATATTCTGGGTTCCCTTAGAAATAGGTATTAAAATTTAGTCTAGACAGAGTGGATTACGTGCGCGGACCTCTGTTCTATGCAAGATGACAATAAACTTAAGACTACCGCCTAAGAAGGACTACACGTAATTGGAACAAATGCAGCTAATTTGCTTGCTTTGGTTAATTATCGATAATGTGATCCTGTTAGATCCGAAGAAAGATGTGTATTGTATCCAGAACCGAAGGTTGCCGGTACTTCTTAACATTTGTTCTACTACGGACTGGTTGCGAGCATAAAGCTGTAGATTTAGCCGACACATATTTACAACATACGCAATTTTTGTAACATTATTGAGATAATTAGTAACCCAACTATCGAACGGAGTATTATCATTGAATGCTAAGACACCAATACAGAATATACAGATACTAGAAGTGTTAAAGTGGTGCATAAACTGTGACGTTAACTGCGTGCATTTTCCGAAACTATTACTGGGCTGGTGATACTGTGTTAGGCTTTGCTCATGGGATTCAACCTAAAACGTCGTTGAGTTAACGAAACAACCATAAGATCTCCCATGATGAATTAGTTGGTGAACATGTTCTTGGTAAAAGTAAAAGTAGGACCATATATTCCAAAATGTACACAAGATTGCTGTTTCTAAGTTGTATTCAAGCATACACTAGAGACATCGTCACGTTTGCCTAGATGAGTTTACCGACCTAACCGTACTTCTGCCAACACATTTGTTTACTCCTTAAACCATATTTCTCACAAACATCCAACGTGGATGTCATGCATTGACATTTTGCCCGTATTAAATCGTAGTGCGATTATTTTTATCACAGAACAGCAACGTTTTGAAAGTGGATGTTTAAAGCATCCAGGTGGACCAAGTGTCTAGCTATTTTTCACAGGTGACTTACGCTAGGAGCCGTTTATGACACGCCGGCGTTCATCACCGTACCTTGTCCAGAACGCACACGATCGTATACATTCGAACTCGTACTGTCGTTACGCGGTTGTTACTACAGTGAATTTACAGTTTGTGCATTCAGTTCGACTCCTAGAAGTCCAAGGGTTATTGACCAACAATCGGTTATGCAGCCCACTATCGGAGTGCGTTGATGGAAATTTCGCAAGCACAAATGTGACTCGTGAGGACACAGAGGAAACAGAGGAACAATGAATACACAGGTTCGGCTTATTCTTAAAATTGGTGTTTACATGAAGTTATAACTACTTCAAAATGGTTGCTTTGTTAACACACTAGTGCTCAATTAACCAGGTTTATGAAAAACGGTTGCAAAATTTAACGTACCAAAATGTAAAAAGAATAGGATAGCTCTACACACCACTTTACTTTAGATTGTTTCGCAATAAAACGTTAACTGAATACGGCAAGTCGTGTTAGAAGAAATTGGGTTGTGTTTCTATATGACTCGTTCGGTAGTTTCCAATTGAAGAATTTACCAAATGCATAAGGCACTCTGTAACCAATATTGCAACTCGAAATGAACATTTGCCTAAAACCAGCCAAAAAGAGCAGTACATAACACAATTTGGCCACTCACTTTACGCTTGCTTGGATTCGCTCATCCGATAATTACCTACCCATATCAACTGATAGCGTAACTGATCTAACATTTATCACCTGTCGCTTGACTATCATTTGGCGTAATTTTCACGTGCACCACTTGCCTGCATTGGTGAGTATGGATTTGCCTATTTGTGAGTAGTAGGGGGATTCATTGGATTTTTGTTTAGATTCGTCGCAGTTAGACACAGACAGACAGCCACCACACATCCAGGAAAGCGCTAGATGGCCGTTTCGTCCTATTGGGACTCGTCAGTAGTGCGCACCCGCCGAATACTACCGGATTCGAACCTACGACCTTACTCATGCGAGTCAGCGACTTATGCCACTGAGCCATAGGCGACGGCAGCGGACCGCCATGACTGATGTCTAACGGCGATATAGCGCGGCTCATCCTCCACTGTCTTGCGTGTTATGCATGTACAGAGGACAGGGCTGGCCCCCAGAGCGGGTGCGCGTTACTGACGAGACCCGATAGGACGAAACGGCCGTCTAGCGCTTCCTGGATGTGTGATGGCTGTCTGTCTGTGTCTAACTGCGACGAATCTAAACAAAAACCCAATAAATCCCCTACTACTCACAAATAATCAGTAGTCGCCTTAGCAGCATACTTGCCACCTCGATTGGTGGCGGCTTGCAAAGGAAGTCGTTTATGTATCAGACGTAGCGAAGAAGCCACAGGTGAAAAGGATTATCTATTCCGTGCTTCCGATTTTTGAAATGTAATAGATGGCTATGATGGCTTAAAATTGCGAGACATTACTTTTCTAGGAGTATTATGAGGTGGCTGGCCTTAGATGGAGCAGACGTCTGGGTGGTATCCTGTTCATGCAGAATATTTGCCCAAACCTTATCGGAATGCTAGTTGCTGCAGTAGATAAGCGTTCAGCTATGGGAAGACATGAGACATAGGTCCAGAATAACATTTGAAATCTTTGACCATCGGTTTGATATAAGGTCACATGAATGTCAAGTGGCCCCCAATCGGATAAGTGACCAGTTTGGGTGTAGTTTGTTAACCGTTTGGGGTATTAGCAGTTTAGCCACACTCCCAGCAATTTCACAATAGACGAGGGTGACAAAGCATTCAGCTGTTCCGGTAAACCTATGTTTGCTATTACAAAGTGCATTTCAAATGAGACGGGATGCCGCAATTTGGATGCAACTTATTAAGAAATGGTTGAGAACTTTTTTGTTCTCATATAACATCCCCAGTAGGCGTAACACTGAGTTCTAAACAGACTGACCGTCAATCAACTATGACAAACGTCTCCATAGGTGACGCCATTTTTACGGGATACGAGCTTGTGTTCTTCAAGCAAAGG